GAAAATCAGCAGCTGTGTATAATTAAGCATTTTTTTCTTTTTTTTTACAATGAGGGTTGTGAAGCACTGGAACAGGTTGGCCAGAGGGGTGGTGGAGGCCCCATTGCTAGAAACATTCAAGGTCAGGTTGGATGAGGCTCTGAGCAACCTGATCTGGTTAAAGACATCCCTGCTCACTGCAGGGTGGTTGGAGTAGATGACCTCTAAAAGCCTCTTCCAACCCAAAGCATTCTATGATTCTACGATTTTGAACTAGGACCTGAATTCTTTGTCTTCTGCAACCGAAGTCTAATTCCCACAAGTAGTTGCTGTGACTCAGTTATGCTTCTCATGGATGTATGCTATAGGATCAATCTACTCATGTACAGCAAGTCCAGTGCATCTGAAATGTTTTGGATTTTTGTTGTAGCAGTCATACTCATGTTAGTTTGTGCAGGAGATCTTGGAACAGAAGCCTACTATGGAGAACAGAATTACAATGTAATGCTATGTGTATTTATATATGTAGTTTCCAATCTTATCTAGGGCACTCTGAGGCTAAGATTTCTTCTAATGTTTTTGAAGCTCCCCATTTGGCTTATCAGTTAATGCAAATGTAAGTGGTTTATATGAAGATACGGTGATAAGTTCTGTACTTATTCAGAATGATTTGTTTTGTTGATGCAGTCCAAATCTTCCTGTACAGTAGAGTTATTCTTTTAGCAGTTGGTCGCTAATGTAGAAATCTATTTTTTTGTGACTTTAGAAATGCCTTCAATTCCCATTTCAGGCGAAGTGCAACTACAAGCTTGTAAAGATTGACTGTGCTTTTTTCAGGTATTCTGATTCACAGCATGTATTTTAAAATAAAATAAAGAAAATTGTTCTGGGTGATTTATGCAAAATAAAGTGGTTTAAGAGCTCCGTTTCCCTGCCTGTTAAGGGGGAAAAAAAAAAGACTTGTTCTTTTTATCCTTTATCAAAGGATAAATGATCTGGAAGGCTCTATACAGGAATTGACTCCCCCCTATCTAGAAGTATTAATGTTTGTCAGAGTTGGCGGAGCCTCGTGAAATGTCTATGGCAGAACACAGGAACTGATACTTCCCTTTTTCTAACTGCACATTGGATGTCTTGCATCACTTCTGGGAGTTATAATGTTGGTCTCAATTTGGCATTGCTTGTAATAGCTCTACTTGTTTATATCAGAAATTGTCCTTCATTGGAGGAGGTATGAGCCATGCTATACAAATCAACTTCTGAGGATAAATTTGAAAGATACAAAGTGCTCTAATGCAGCACACCCCCAAGTGGGAAGTGATGAGGCAATGTCTTTGGTTCTGGATTTGTTGTTGTTTTAGTTAACTTCTAAAATGGCTGCAGGCCTCTTTCCATTTCCAAACAAATCTGTTTGAACAGGGACACAAAAAAATAAAATAATGTTTCCTAAATAAATGAAGTCGGATTATAAATAAGTGTATAACTTCTGTGCTTAACCTAACAGTTGCTGGTGGAATAGCAGCCATTACTTCATTTTCCCAACTTTGAGTGTTTAGAAGCTTTTTTTTTTTTTTTTTAGTACAGTAAGTGACTTGATAGAAAATGAACTCTTTCATGGGAAACTTCTCTCTCTTTTTTTCTTTTTTCTTCTTTTTTTTTTTTTTTTCCTGGCAAAGGGGAGGGAAGGAGATGATTTTTTTTTGTGTAAATCTTCCCTCAGGTTAATGGCTTTGGTCTTCAGGTAAATTAGTCTGAAAAGAAGTAGACTTGTCCATGAAAGCAAGTTGTAGTACTCACCTGGGAGACTGATCAGTGAATGCTGAGAGTTAGAGGGGTTCTTTTGTTTTATTTTTGCTGTTGTTCCCTTAGTTTGCCAAGGTTTTTGTAAAATCCATTATCTACTGTTGAGAGAGAGACTTCAGTCAAATTGTTCAATAATTTAGTACTACCTCTTGTAATTTGGTTCTTTTTTTATAAAAGGAAACAGCTATATTGCTGCTGTTGTAAGAAACTACAAAGTAGATGATATAGTGACTGCACAACAAAACAATCCCATAATTTTTCAGCAACTTTACCTTTTTGTTTGTAGTACACAATGTTTCTGTGCTCTACCTCTTTTGACTGCAGAATCCTGCATCTGGAGAGAATGCAGTCCGTACTTCAGGGTGTACCTCAGTGGCCTGTTATGAAGAGATTGCTTCTGGTAGATGGAGCTATAAGGAATGTAATAGCACAGTATTTATACTTCACTGAAGGTAAAGCTGCGTGCTTGTTAACTCAATGTTAACAAATGTTAACTCAAATGACTTCCACAGAATAACATGGGAAATGGGTAGCATTCCACTTCTAGGAGGGCATTTGGGCTCTGTAATACGTCACACTTAGATATTTACAGCAGCTTTTGAATTCCTAAAACTTTGTTTCCCTTAGTGATGGTAGAACACAACATAATACCCACTTTAATTTCTCATATCAGGAATAAACAATTTCCTTAGTCATTTTATATGATGTTGTATGCTGCTGTGGCTGTTGTTTAAAGATCTAACTCAAGAAAAAGAGCCTGCTAATAAAAATTAAGATTATCAATGCCTGAGAAGTTTCTGATGACATCAGTCACGTATGTGTGAACAAGAAGTCGTGGTTTTAGATTTAGATGCAGCTCGAATTTTCTGGCTGGTCATTGCAAGTGACGCAAAATGCTGAGTTGGACATACAGATTTTCTGATCTCGTTAAGTAAGGATTTGATTGAGGGCTGTGAAGCACAGAGGCAGGGTGCTTCTTTCTTTGAGGGCAATGCTTTTGGACACAAAGCTAGACTGATGGTGAAGGAATTGGAAGATGCCATTCTCGGAAGAGAGGGGGACAGTATTGAAGAACTCGGGGCACGTAGAGGTGTATTTTACAAGAAGTTGAGGAACTAGATCTGTTTTCAGGAGTTTAATGGAGTAAGATGAACTAGCTCCCATGAACTAGGAGGAGGAGTCAGCTATTGGAGGAACCAGGAGGCCTGGGCCAACACCAGAGAGACCAAGGAGTCTGGGGGTTGACCGAGAGACCTGTTTGTGTACCTCCTATGTGTGAGGCAGCTGGGGAGAGCTGAGGGACCTGGACCTAGATAGACTAAGTAGACTGAGTGTCCAAGAGCAGTTATTGCAGGGATCCACTCTGTGTGTGAGCAACCACATCTGTACCAGAAGCTGGAGCGGGGCTGCAGCCTCAAGGGCTTGTATGCCCAGGTGCTAGCAACTGGGGAGGGAGACTGGGATCCAGAGGCAGCTGCTGGGCAGACTGGGTGCCTGAGCCCAGCTGCTAGGGGGGGGATCCACACTCTGTATGTATCTATATGTACGTATTCCCTCTAACAGACCTTCATCTTGACCAACCAGGGAGGTGAACAGGATGAGGCCGTTGGTGCTGTTTGTGCGTGCGAGGGCTGCGCGCGTTGATCTGTGTGGCTGGCCACGTGCATTTGCTGTGTGCGTGTTGGCTTGTGTGCCTACCTGCCCAACCTTGCTGCCAGTTGCACCTGGGGGCATGGAGCTATGGCAGCCTCGCCTCTGTAGAGCTACTGGATTTGGCAACTCCCTAACATGAGCTGGTAACATTTCTGTGGTTGTCTTGTTTGAGAAGGGTGAGATTAGTTTTGCTTGGGAGCTTAAGGAATTAGGCCACCTTTCCGTATTTCAGAAGAATTTGCTGGCTAAATCATCAGTTACATATGGAAAGAGTCCAAGTTTATTCACAGCATTCATAGCTAGAAGCCCACACAGGACTTCGTTTTCCTTTCCTGAATATCATGAAATCTGGCTGAAGTCATTGGAGTTACTCTGATATAGCTGTGAAAGGGGATAGGGTCATGCTTTTGCCAGTATAAGACGACTGGTCTCTTCTTTCTGCCTTGTCTTGATGAGCCTTTTTCAGTGGCAGTGCAGGAGGGGAGCAGTCTCTGCTCCTCAGAAGTGCAGAGTACAACTGTGTACATAATTTGTGCAAAATGATGGAGTGCTTTGGGCAGGGATGTCATCTAAACCAAAGTGGAACCTTTATGCCTCTGTAACTGCTGTGTTTTTAAACCATATCATGCACATTTTTCTTTCCCAGAAGGATGCTTCCTACTGTACTGTCCCTGAATTACTCTGTAGGTTAAATATTTTCTTTATGGGGTGTGTGGGGGAAATGTCTTACAGAAGCTTTACGTAGCCTGGAAAAACTGATTCCCTTTGCCCAAAGAGATGGATTCATTCATCTAGACATCAGAAAGCTCTTTGTGGAGCTAAGCCAGGTATGTTGTTATTTAATGTTTGTATATTAATTTGCATAAAGCTGCAGAGGCTTGTTTGGGGGGATTAAAAGAACTTGCTAAGTAGAATATTTCACTTTTTATTCAGCAGCCTTTTGGTCCAACTTTACCTTGTACTTTTTTGTCTTTTGACATTTCATTGTGAGAATTAATACGCAGTGTGAATTAAATCTGTTCCTTCACCTTGAGTTAATTTTTAAAGTGACAGTATATTAATTACATTTTAGATGTTGATGAGCAATGCTTCCTATGTATGCAATGATGTGCTTGCAATGTTTGAGAAGAACCTGAGACTTCCACAGGGCTCAGATGACATTGACTTTTTAGCAATATACGTGTGCCTTGGCAATGGCTCAGAGGTGACCTTCAAGCTAAGTAACCAGGTGAAGTCACTAAAGGAATCTGTAAGTATTTCTGAATTCTTTTCATGTTTAAATCTTGCAATGCCTTACTTAACATTACTATTATGAAATGAAATAAATTAGCAGAGGTTGTAGCTTACTGCTTAGTGTTTGCTGTTAATAAGTGCATGGGTAACTGATTATTTCAAATGATCAAAATGTGCTTGGGGGCAAGGCACAAGTGGTCCTGTGGAGTCTTTTGGGTGGATGTGACACTTTAGACATGCTAAGTAGCTGTGGATTCCAGAAGAAAATGAGAAGGTTTGAAAGACTGCTTATTTAATCCATCTTATGTTGAATTTCAATAGCATCAATATTACAAATCTAAGCAGCAGGGCCAAAGCCTCAGGTGAGTTTCCCTTTTACTGGTTTCAAATATTGCTTTCTTTACTCTGAAAGGTCCTGCTTCTGCAGAAAGTAACTCAGGGGCGACAGAGCCTGCCAGATCCAATAATGGATGATTATTTGGGATGGCAAGAAATGGAAGAGCAGCTAACTGAAAATTATGCCTATTACTGTGAAATTAATCAAATGCTCAGCACAGAGGCACCATCTGAGGAGGATGTCCGTTTCAGCTCTTGTCAGGAACAGCTGCTCTTCTCACTGTATGTATCTTGTATACCTTTTAATACATAAAGATCCTCACTGGTACCAACCTGGAGTAAGGTATTTATAACCAGTAACCAAATAGATAAAAAGGTTAAACCCCTGCTTTTTGCTTTTGATTACCACCCAGTGTTAACAATTTTCTATAAGCACAAACAGGAAGGTAGAGGATGATTTTTTTTTATTAGTATTAGTATTTGGGGGCATAGGGGTGGAAATAGGCTGAGGGTAGGCAGGTATCTAGGATTTTAGAAGCCTATTCTCCCTTTTTATCTTCTCACATCCAAGCATTTTCTGCAACTTCTCAGCCTGCTTCCTGGTACATATCTCTCTGGTACTGTGCTGCTCAGGGTGCTTGGAAACTTGGATCTGAAAGACTCCTGGGAGATGCAGGAAAACACTGAAGAGGGGGTAGTTAGAAAATGCACTAGGAGGGGTATTTCAGCCTCAGGTTACTTTCTGAACACATCAAGTGGTCAGTGTTCCTCTATTTTGGCAGAAAATCCATTCACCTCTTTATTAAGTTGATTGTCATTTGCAATGACTCAGTAATTCTATTGATTTCAAACTTTAATGATCTTAAATCAGAGTATATTAGAGATAAATCCCGATATCAATAAAGTGCTTTAAAATAGGACAGGATTTTGTTATTATTGCTTGGCAACGTAAAGCATGAGCATAATGCGTTTAATGTGAAGTTGCGTTTATACTGAACAGATGTCCTAGATCACAAACTTAAACGTGTGTAGAAGACAACTATCTACATTGCTTATGCATGTGAGAAACTTGACAGAAGAGTTTGCTATTAAAGCAGTAAAACTATTAGCTCTAAGCATTCAAGAATCTGTCAGAAATTCCACAAGCTGCACTGGCAGCAGGAAATAAAA